TAAGCTGCACTGCAATCCCAAAGGCATGCAGTTCAAATCCACCAGCTGCTCTGTAGGAGAAAGATGGGAAATCTCCTCTCATGCAATTAACTGCCTCAGAAAACACACTGGAGGGTCAACTATGAGTCGATTCTGACTCTACAACAGACAACAATGATGATGATAATATAACAGGGGAGCTCTGGTGGCATAATCTATGGGATAATGTGCTGTGAACTCACCTGTGGCTTCTCAGGAGAAAAATGGGCAGTCTCCTCGGTGTGATTTACAGCCTCAGAAAAGCCACTGGAGGGTCAACTATGAGCCCATTCTGAATCAATAGCAATGAAGTTTTTTGGAGAATAATATGCCAAGTTGTTCTGCTACTTAGCACTTAATTACTCAGCGATTAACAGAAATGTTGGTGGTTCAACCCCACCAGCCACTGCATAGGAGGAAGATGTATCCGTCTTGTTTTATAACTATTTCAACCTTAGAAACCCTATGGAGCAGTTCTACTCATTCCAATAGGGTCAATATGAGTCAGAATCAAGGCAGTAGCATAAAGTAATAATGTATAAGATACAGAGGCCCAACAAATCACTCTATGACAAAATAAGTTCATCCCTCAAATTATGACCAAAATGCTTGACATTGTCTCTCAAGGTTAAGTCAGAAATTTAACCCAAGGTAATTTTGATGAACTAAATATGTAAAATACATTTCAGATACACAAATAAACAAAGCAAGGCGAACATACCATTTCCAACTAATCGAATTGCCCAATTTAAAAACCAACAAAACACAAGAAGGAATTTCTAATTTACCAGTTATTGACATGGACATGTGAGGTGAGTGCTTTGCTGCCAAATCATTTATTTTCAGCCTCTTGTCAGAAATATGTGTGTTTGTGAAGAAATCTCTAAAATCTTCCCTTAAGTATTAAAAAGAAGACTTAAATCCAAAAGGAGAAGCATGCCATGTCCTTGAAACAGAAAAAAAAACCCACCCACCAAAAGCCAACGTTATAAAAAAATCATTCTCCCTAAAGTAATGGATCCTTTCAGTGCAAAGCAAATAAAAATCCTTAGCGAGTGTTTTCCTTGAGCTTGACCAGCTGGTTCTGACATTCATCTGGGGAGATAAAAGTGACAGAAAAGTAAAGGGGTGGAAATATAAGGACTGTTTCAACTAGATCTGCATTATTCGATAATGTAAGAAATCTGCCCACCCTAAGGATTGGGATGGAGATTCAACAAACACTTGTTGCCATTTAACTTTATAGGTCTTTTTAAAAGAACATTTCTCCTCTTTAATACTTCAATAGCTCTATTTGGCAATTCTTCCTCCTCTGCAAATTCAGGGAAGGGCCTCTGCCTTGTTCATCACAGGGTGGGGGCGGAGCATCCCCTGAGAAGCTTGAAGTTTGCTGTGCCTGGCCAGTTTTGCGAGAGGAGCTGCTTTTCACAGAGGCTGCAGCTGACAAGAAGCTTCAAGGTAATGGCTGTCTTATAGCTTTCTTTTCGAGGGGCATCTCAGGACCCTTGAGTAAAGATGAGAAAATGAAAAATTGTGGTCTTAAAGTAGTGGGAAGGGGACATGGTTTGAGAGAATGGTTGGCATTTGGGAAGAATTATTCCTTTGGAATTTTTGTATCTCTCAGTGCTTTAAAAGTCCACAGTGAGGGAAGGAGTGATCAGATTACAGCCTCTAAATTAAGATTTCAGTATGCATGGCTGTTCATGCTAATTTATTTATTGACTTCACATTCCATATTTCTAGGCTTATTAGATATTGTGATGGTGTTTGAATTGATAAGCTTTTGTTAATTTACCCAAAAGAAACCCTGACAGAAATATTTGACAGTATGGGGACTACTCCTACAAATTGAATTATACAGTTAATTTTATGTATGTGCCACATGAGCATGGAAAGGGTATCAAGTGTGCAGCTGAGTGAAAACATTTGTGTATGCATGTCTGTATGTGTGATTAAAAAAACAATCTGGTAAGCAATAAATTCCCCAACCTGAATAAGTCAGTATTTCAGAGGAATCAAGTTACTGTTTTCATGTTTCTTTTTTCCAACTATTTCAGCATTTTTAGAGCTGTTCTCATGATTATCTGTATGGTCATACAAGAAAAATCACATTGAAAACTGCACATTCATTTTGTTTCAGATCCATAAACATACATAAACACACACAGATTAGCACACACACATCTAACTTGTATTTTGCCAATAGTGGAATTTTTTGTGGACCTGATAGTAAGGTGATTGCAGCATCACCTATAACCTTCACATGCATCCTCCTTGCAAATAATTTTTTCAAGCCACAGGTATGGCCATGGATGAAAAGAATCATATCTTTTGATATTTTTAGCAAGACGGAGGATTTAATGTCTTTCTAAGAACAATTTTTACATTTATGCCATGGACATAGTAGCTGGTAAATAGGAATAAGAACCTGTAGTGACTTGAAAATCTGTCTGAGAAGTAATATTCCTTAAAAAAGCAATTTGTAAAATGGCAAGCACCATATTATCCCACTGAAAAATAAATATGTATATTGGTATTATCAGTATCTGTTAACATAGTCTATGAAACAAACTCTAGAAAATATATTTACCAAATTATTGATGGGATTATTTGTGTAATTAGATAGATGGGAGGAGGCTGTACCATTCTCTGTGAAAAACTATTAGTATGAAATTAATAATTTATTTTTCATGCAGTCAGGGATAATATTGGCATATGTTATCAACTTGGGATAAATATCATTTAAGCTAATAAATAAAAAAATCAACTGGAAAATAACTTGCTGGTATAGCTTGTTCCTCAGACCCTGATTTTGGGTAAGGTCAAAATAGTATGTATTCATACATATGTACAAATTCCAAATCTATAGATGGAAAATATTGATACTTATTAATTTTAAATTATATATTCACTTTTAGTTATTATTTGTGGGGTTACGCTATCTTTTGCATATATCTTTCTACAGTTTTTCAATTTTCAATAAGCTTCTAGAGGTTTTGATAGTTGGAAACATGGTATATGAAGACATTATGATCCAATTAAGAGCTCACACTACAGAACCCTTAAACTTAGCATGGATAATTCTAGAAGTCAGCCTGACTGGCATCCACAGCTTCTCTAAGAAGGACTTGGTAGTTATCCTTCCATCTTTACAATGATCTTATGCAGTATTTAACCTTATGAGACTGAGTTGATTTATTAGTAAAACATGTATGAGAACCCAAGGGAGGAAGGGAATGGGACTGGAGGATTGAGAATGGGTAGGGACAAAAGTACAGGGTTGCACAGTTTGGTGGGTGGAGGGAGAAGGGGAAGAAAATGGGAGAAGAAAACGGGAAAGACCCAGGTGAAAAGACAGGGTAATGATGGGCAAGGTCCAATGGTAATTAATTTTATAAAATGTAATGCATTAGAATGATAGTATGAAACATAATGTTAATGAAGAACAGTGTGAAACACAATGTATATGAACTTTGTAAGCAAATCAATTTTAAAAACTGCCAGAGTTTTGGAAGGGTCATTTCTTTACACATTTTCTGATTTCCTGCTTTTTATTTAAATAGCCTATACCAGATTTCATGTAATTCCAGAAAGGCTGTGCCACTGAAGGAGCACACAGCAGAGTGAGCTAAAGTGAGAATCCAGAGACCAGCTTACAGGACAAGACCCATCGTCACACCTGTGACATTGAGTATGATTATTCCTCAGTTATACAGCATTTCATACTATAAACATGTTGAGAAGACAGGGAAGAACTTATGTAGCTTCTTTTTTTTTCTGTTCTGCATTCGCAGCATTAGCAGCTAAATTGAGTACGCAGACATCAGCCCACAAGACTAGACCCACCACCACATCTGTGACCTTAGGTAAGACTTTTCCTCATTTTACAAAGCATTTCATTTTAAAAACGTCTTGAGAACTCAATTTTCCCCCCTTTCTGCTCTTCAGTCATAGCATTTTAAGTTAAAAGCCATATTTCCTAATAAATATCATATAGGGTTGAGAATTGAGGATACAATCATTTTGCTCTCTGTTTTGCAACCACAACATTTTTTGTAATTGACAGTCTAGTTGTGGGAAAGAATCTGATGCATTAAAACAATGGAAAGAAATCATGCAAAGGAAGGTAACTGAGTCCCAACCAACTGCCTGACACTTAAGAAACCCTGGGTAACTACCCTATCCGTTTAGTGACCATAACTCTTTCCAGTCAGCTTTAAATGAGTTTATTATCTTATTGTCTGATTCTAGGAGGTATGTAACTTCTTGGAGTGCTTTCTGAAAGGTTAGTGGTTCGGATCCAGCTGGTACTCCAAGAAATCAAAATGTCTTCTCCTATGGAGGCTCATTCTAAGTCAGAATTGACTTGAGCCTGAGTCAATTCCAGGGCAGTGGATATTTTGTTCTAGAGTGGATTATTTGTTTGATTCTGGTACATACTAAGTTAGGAGAGCCATTACTCTACCATGCAACATCATAGACACAAATACCAATATGTCCAATACATAGAGTCTCCGCCCTGCTTCCACTGGCATGTGCACACATTCACTACTTACTCAGCACATCCAGTAATAAAGGGAAATTTTTGGAATTAAAATAATCCAAAATCATTTCTCTAGTTTTCATCCTTCTTTCTATAATATGCTACATTTTCCTCCTCTCCTTTCTTTCATTTTTAATTTAGTCACTGTTTTTAACCTTCTACTTTGGCAAAAGAGCTTCATTTGCTGATACTTCTCTTTTTTTCCATTTCCCTCTTCCAGTTTCTTCCAGTTTCATCCCATCAACCACGTGTTGAAGAATCCATGAGAGACTGGAGTGGAAGAAGACAGGCTCCAGAAGTTGTAAACCCTTTTAAGGGCTAAGACAAAAGAAGCTTCATTAAATTGTTTTGGGGAGGGCTTGCTTGCAGTGGCAAAAAAAGCCAGATATCTGAGCCTCTCATACTAACCTGTTTTGTTGATACAGAAATCTAAATCATAATGGATGCTGAATATATCTTGTGCATCTGGAAAGATGCATTATGGCCAGCAAAGGTTTTATCCAGGTCTGTGGGTTCACCAAATGATCAGATAAGTAATCCATTCTCAGTGGAAGTTCAGGTACTCTTCCTGGATGAAAAAATTAAAGTGGCAAGCTCAGAAATAAAGATCCTAGATAAGTCTCAAATTGAAACTATTTATGCCTCAGTAGCAGCAGAGTCAGAGTTCAGTGGTATGCCTAGAGAGGAGACAGCCTATGAAAAAGCACTGAAAGCAGCACTTAATATTCTGAATGAGAGAGAAAATTGTAGCCAAGCAAGTACTTCAGGTGATTCACCCCCCGTGAAAAAGTGTAGACATATCTGGTGTGCAGGGCAGTTAGCAGATGATCTTGAGGAAGATGAAAACCAAACACGTCTGTGCTCAGAGAGCAGTGATTCCCCGCAGGATGAAATCTCTCAGGATTTCACAAGTGAGATGGAAACAAAGCCATCTGGAAATTCTAGCCTGGGCCATAATTCCTTTTCAGAAGATGAGGATGAGAAAGAGAACAAGAAAAAGATTGACACCACATTAGTTAGGTCCTTCTGTTCCACATTTAAAGAGGAGGAAAACTATGATAAAGATGAGAAATTTGGTCCAATTTTACCCAAAGCAGTTAAAGAAGAGTCATGTGACATCAGCTTAGAGAACGTGGCTACTTCCGCTGAAGGCCCTAACTTCTCACAGAATGATAATGATGATGATGATGATGATGATGATGATGATGATGATATAATAGAGGATCCCTCAGATCCTAACTCAGATGCCAGCCAGAATCAGCCTTCCACAGAATCAGAAGAGATGGGTGCTGAGGCACCTCCAGACCACTATTTAGAAGCACTTCAGTCTTCACTAAATGCTGCTAATCGTGTCCTAGATAGTGTATCACACCTGACCAATAAAAGAAAGTTTGATGATATGGATCTGGACTTTGATGAGTTTCGAAGCACTCCTTATGTAAGTTTAATTGATGATTCTCAGCTAGAGGATAGTGAAGAAGAAGAAGAGCTACCACGCTTGACTTTTAAATATGAGCCACCTGCAATTGAAATGGGAACCGTTGTGTGGTTTAAATATAAAAAATATCCATTTTGGCCAGCAGTGGTGAAAAGCATCAGGCGAAAAGAGAGGAAAGCAAGTGTGATTTTTGTTGAGGCATTCCTGCATCGTGATAATCGAGGTGTTAGAGTGTTCCTTAGAAACCTAAAGAAATTTGATTGTAAGGAAAAACAAGAACTAGTGGAGAAAGCCAGGGAGGCATATGGTGAAAGTATTGATTGGTGCATGTCACTCATTTTTGACTACAGAATAAGAATAGGCTGTGGTTCTTTTGTCGGCACTTTTCTTGACTATTTTGGTGCTGACATTAGTTACCCAGTTAGAAAAACAGTGAACCTGGATACTGTGCGGGACATTTTCCCAAAACTGTATAATGAAGATGCTGGAAATGCTTTGTCTGTGACTTCCCAGACCAAGAGATTATCTTTCCAGAAAATTCTCCCTGATCGAATGAAGGCTGCTAGAGATCGGGCCAACAAGAATCTAGTAGATTTCATTGTGGATGAAAAGGGAGCAGAGAGCCATCTTATGGCCATTTTAAAAGGCCAGAAAGCCTCCAGGTGGCTGAGATCTTTTTTGAATGCCAAGAGATTCACACCTTGCATTGAAACATATTTTGAGGATGATGATCAGATAGATGCCGTGGTAAATTACTTGCAAGGTATCTGTAGACAAGTAGAGGCAGAAATGTTGGAGCTGATGGTAGATGATAAAATAAAATTTATCCTAGAAGTTCTTCTACCAGAAACAATAATTTGTTCAATTTCTGCTGTTGATGGATTAACTTACAAGGAAGCTGAAGCAAAGTATCTCAAAGGACCATCCCTTGGCTATAGGGAAAGAGAATTATTTGATTCAAAAATCCTACCTGATAAGAGAAGGAAACGCACAAATTAATCTTGTTAAACTTCCTTCAGAGTCTAAACCATAACAGAAAGCTTTAAAAAAAATAATGAAACCCTCTTTTTTCATGTTTAAATATATTCTGGAACTGGAGGATTTTGAAGAAAGTTGCCTAAATCTTCAGGATCTGTAGGTGTCACTATATTACTCCCTTTTCATGCACTTATGCAAAATTCATTTCGGTAACAGCATTTAGCAGTTCTGCTTTCCTGCACATTTTAGAATGCATCATTCCTAAAAATATTATTGAGAAAAATACTATTTTGCTTTATGACATTTTTGTGGCTATATACTGTATAATTAAATACATACAGTACGTGCAATCATTTTCATGTTAAAAATGCACTAATAGCAATTGTTAAACAGAAAAAAGTTGTAGAAAGCATTAATTATATATTTTTAGCTTAATTTTTGTAAAATGTTGGCTCTCAAGATAGTGGAATTATTTTTTTCCTGCCTTGCCTATTATTTTTGGAGAATAATTATATATCTTTGAGGCATAGAACCAAAGATAGAGATGCTTTGCTAAATAGTATAACTAACTTCATAGGCATTGATAATAAAACACACTGAGATTCAAATACATAGATAATCGCTTATCTGGATGTAGTCCGTATGTGGATGAATTCCACTTCAGCAAACAGAACTTATCCTTTTGGAAGCCTTTAACAAAACTGTTCACTCTGTACTTCACTGAAATTCCATTTATGGGAGTGTGTGTTCTTCAGCAACTGAATGGTTTCTTTAAAGAGGCGGATTTTCCGTCTCTCTTGACTGACAGAGGCTGGATCTTCTTAGTAGCCATCTGCCTCCATGTGGAATGCAGCTAGAGTCATACTCTAGATCTGTGACACCAGGCTGACCTCTCAAGAGATCATCTAGTTTTGTGTAAACTTTGGGAAAAGTAGTCACTTTTTTCTGAGTCTTACAGCTTCAAAAACGTCGTCATTTACCTTAACCAAGTAAGCATTAACATCAAATTTCTTCATAGTATGTCAGGGTCCAACGATGAGTATAGTCATTCCAGCCTGCTGTAAGCAGAGCTACAAGGAGTAGATAGACCAGGATCTGAGAATTTGGAAGTGGATCACAGGGGGAAAAACCTTCTATTTAGCTAAATATGGTTAGCCATAAATTAAAGTTATTAGCTAAAGCAGTGAATGATTTATCCTAACTTTAAATGAACTTTTTTTTGAGAATAAATGTTATAAAACTAGCTTCCTTTTTTACAAGTTAATGTGCAAATAAATACTAAAGGCTTAGCATAATTATGATTGCTTTTTTTTTCTCTTTGCCTTTTGTATTCTGTTATGTCCCTTTTGGGCTCTTGTTAATATGTTCACTTGGCCATATATTTTGTGTTAAATTTGCAAAAGTGAGGCATTCATGTTTAAAAAATACAATCTAACAATTTTATCTTTTACCTAGAACTTTCTTGTCCTATCATATTGTGAATTGGACAACAACTTAAATTTTGTATCTTAAAAAGCAGTTTGAAAGTTTTGCTTCTTTTAATCATCACTTACATGCTCATTATAAAGTCCCTTTTTCATTCTAAATAAATATTCACTTCAATGAATGATTGTTTGTTCTTTCTGAATCAAAGAAACTTCTGATCCCACAGAACCTGATTTGAACTTTGTCTGAAAGAAAGTTAGACTCATTGGGCACACTGTGCAAATCAGTATGTCTCACTCAGTGCTCTAAGACGTATTTGAGAATAGATCATCATCATGCTATTTGTGGGCTGCATTCCCTGGGAAAACACATTTTCGTTGATTTGTCTCTCTGACTACAAAGTATTACTTAACTTTGACTTTCTCCTTGGAATTGTCTCTCTCTTGATTTTAATGTTTTGCTACATTAGTCAGTCATTTATGGAGCTATGAGGGAAAGACCATTTGAAGTGTGATTTAAAGCTGTGATCTGAGAATAAATTCCAGGTGCTGTGGAAAGGAGGACATACTAAGTTTGCCACCCTGGGGACAATCTCATTTCTTTTTTTTTTTTCTGAGTACAGTATACTTTATTGATGGTACATGACAAGATGAGCTCTCCAACCCCCTCCCCTTTCTCAGGGGGATTTGACGGAAACTGTGTCAGGGATGTGAGATTCTCGGTGTGTAGAAGGATTGAGTTTGGGCAAGGACTCCTCAGCAGCTGAGGGTCTCTCTCTCTTCTAGTGCTATTGCTGTGGCTGATGGTCCAAGGGGCTCTTAGTGGTTATTCAGAGCAATGCCAGCCCCAGCATCAAAGGTGGAAGAGTGGGTGTCACTATTACAGTCATAGGAGACAACCTGGTCTTCAGTGTATCCCAGGATGTCCTTGAGGGGCCCTTCTGATGCCTGCTTTACTACTTTCTTGATGTCATCACATTTAGCAGCTTTCCCCAGACGGCAGCTCAGGTCCACAACTGACACATTGGGGGTGGGGACATGGAAAGCCATGCAGGTAAGTTTCCCATTCTGTTCAGGGATGACCTTGCCCACGGCCTTGGCAGTGCCAGTAGATGCAGGGATGATGCTCTGGGCAGCACCACGGCCATTATGCCACAGTTTTTCAAAGGGGCCATCCACAGTCTTCTGGGTGTCAGTGATGGCATGGACTGTGGTTAAGAGTCCCTCTACAATGCTGAAGTTGTCATGAATGACCTTGGCCATGGGAGCCAAGCAGCTGGTGGTGCAGAAGGCATTGCTGACAATCTTGAGAGAATTGTCATACTTTTCATGGTTCATGCCAATCACAAACATAGGCATTGGCAGAAGGAGCAGAGATGATTACCCGTTTGGCACCACCCTTCAAGTGAGCCCCAGCCTTCTCCAAGGTTGTGAAGACACCAGTGGACTCCACAACATACTCAGCACCAGCATCACCCCACTTGATGTTGGCCGGATCTCGCTCCTGGAAGACAGTGATAACTTTCCCATTGATGACCAGCTTCCCATTCTCAGCCTTGACAGTGCCATTGAACTTGCCATGGGTGGAATCATATTGGAACATATAGACCATGTAGTTGAGGTCAATGAAGGGATCATTGATGGCGACAACATTCACTTTGCCAGAGTGAAAAGCAGCCCTGGTGACCTGTTTACTTCGACCATCACCATCATGTCTCAGGGATGAGAGGATGAGGCTGCACGAGAAGAGAGGGCAATCTGGATAGATGAGGAGCAGAGAGCCTACAGTCTTATTTCTAAGATGACAGATCCTCTCTTTGTTTCTCAAGTAGAAAAATACTTACTAGAGTCATGGGCTGATTACCTGAATTTAAAATCTACAGTCACAGATTTCCCCATTTTTGTAATGTTGTGGGCATCTGAGGTAAAGGGAGGGTGTGATTGTAGCATATGTTGAAGTGAGAGAGACTTGTCTCAGATAAGCATGCTTTAAAAAAAATCTGGGGCTTTTGGGTGACATTTCGGCATAGAAGAAGATTGGCAATGTGTACTCAGATCCTTTCCAGTCTGAGTATTTTGTTAAGGCAGGGTTTAAGATGACCAAAAGTTGGATCACTAACAACTTCATGTGCAATAAGAAAGCCTTACCTGTTAATCATCCTAACCCATGGATTAAAATGACACTCATCTGCAAGACTCCAGTAAAAAACAGATGTTGTCCATAAGGTCGCTATGAGTTACAGGGAACTCGGTGGCACATAGCAAATATATGGCTACTGATAGGAAGGAAAAATGAAACACTGACATGTTTAATGTCCCTAGGTTTAAAAATCTTGAGCTCTTAGAATCCCCCTTAATCCTCAGCCTGACCAAAACATCTCCCTAACCTTTGTTCTTAGTGAGCCTTTGGTGAAAAGGTCAAGGGGTGTGTGAGGGTGACAGTATTAGAAATAATATATCACATGAAAACAGAGGGCCTATATTTTTTTCTTTTTTTTCTTTTTTATTTTAATGAACGTTTACAGAGACTTTGAATTTCCATTCATTCATTGTGGCACACTTTCCCTGGGCCTATATTTTAGTTATTATTCCCTGACAGGGAGGAGAAAGCACTAATATGATACCAAAAAATGCTAACAGGACAGAACACTGGCATTTTGTTGCAGAGCAAGATAAGGAAAGGCTAACTTGTGCTTTCTTCCTAATTTGTGGTAAACAGTTTCACATTTACTGATTATATCATTCTTGCCAGGTATTATAAATTTGTAAAGGGGCTGTGGTTCTGGTAGAAAGATGGAGTTAGTAGAGAGATGCCGGCCAGACCTAGAAGCAGTCTTCAATTTGTTTCTTTCTTTGTTTGTTTTTTAAAAAGAAAGGGTTCACTATTATTGTTGTTGTTGTTATGTGCCGTCGAGTCGTTTGCGACTCATAGCGACCCTATGTACAACAGCCCTAAACCCTGCTCTATCCTGTGCCAATCGCACTGTCTCTGACACTCCCATCCCAATTAACCCAGTCACTGAATCAATCCACCTCACAGAGGGTCTTCCCCTCCTGCGCTGTCCCTCTACTCTACCCAGCATGATGTCCCTCTCCAAAGACCTGTCCCTCCTTACAAGATGTCCAAAGTATGTCAGACGAAGCCCCAGAATCCTTGCCTCCAAGGAGCAGCCTGGTTTAACCCTCTCTACGATGAATCTGTTTGTTTTCTTGGCAGTCCATGGTACATCCAACACTCTTCTCCAGCACCACAGTGCAAGGGCATCAATTCTTCTTCTATCCTCCTTAGTCATTGTCCAACTCTCTGATATTTAACAAGTGATTGCAAAACCATGGCCTATATTAGGCGTACCTTCGTCTCTATAGATTAGTTAATATGTAAGCACACGTATGCCTGTGCTTACTTTACTTATCAGACACTGCATTCTATGCCTTGAAATAATAAATACTATAATCAACTGATAAATAATGGGAATAATAGGATTTCAGAATGGAAGGGCCAAAGTATTTTAGAATTACATGTATGCACAAGTGACTAGTGTACTTTTTTTATAAAAAGCTTTTGAAATGACACCTGACAAGTCAAAATCTGTAGCA